AAAAGAATCCCAGCTACTTAGATTATTTTTAGAAAGTCTTGGAAGAAGCGTGGAGAGAGCACCAAAAGACATAGATGAGATGATCAAGCTGGCAGAACGGTATATAAAAGCCCATGGAGGTAGTATAACTGACAAGTCCAAGAATGTCCAGTTAAATATGAAACCAGTAATGGCTGACAGGAGGTTAATAGACAGAAGGGAGAAGAGATGCTATGTTTTTTTTTATAAAATGGGACACATTGCAAAGGAGTGCAAGTCAATTGCCAGCAAACAGCAGAAACCTCAACATAAAGCAGCTGGAGCTATTTACAAAAACAATGCTGGTGAGAAACAAGAAAAGAGTGATTGGCACTATGGATGCTTCTGCCAAAAGAAAGAGAATCAAGACTACTTGTCAAATTCAATACAAGAAAGCATGATTGATCAGTGCACGACTAATGGTCGGCTCAAATTAGCAAATGGATCAACAGTGCTAATAATTATGGGAGCATGTGCCAAATATCAAGAGATGCCAACAAATTACAATCTGCCAAAATGTGAAGGCTATGTTGGGGACAAGAAAGTGAAGGTTCTACAAGACACTGGTGCAATAGTGCATCAGTGAGAACCAGTTTAGTATCCAATGGTCAGATGACAAGCAAGGTATGCATGTGTGTGCTAACTGATGGGACAGTGAGAATGTTTCACATAGCAAAAATAAAGGTGGATACTCCATATTATGTAGGAGACTTTGAGATCACGGTTATCAAGAAACCAATACACGACTCGGTGATAGGAACATACCAGGTAGTAGAAATTTGGAGGAACTAGACAGAAAGAAGATTGATGAAACTTCTGCTGTCACCACCAGAGCTTAAGAAAAGAAGAGCAAACAAGACATCATGCCCCTGCATGTGTCAAAAGGCGACATTCCCAATTTAGGTTTGCGAGAACTGAAGGAAGCACAGAAGAAAGACCCTTCACTACAGAAACTTTTGGACAATGCCCGAGAGAATGTCGAGCACAATACAAAGGGCAAAGATTCTTATAGAATAGAGGACTGGAAGGGAGTTCTATACCGAATCTATCAAGGCAGTTATACTGGGGAAGTTAAACAGATCATAGTACCAACAAAATACCAGACTCGAGTGATAAAGTTGGCTCATGAATCAATTGTGGGAGGACACCTAGGAACAAAGAAAATGGCAGACAGAATCACCAGTAACTTCCATTAGCTGGGAGTCATCAGAGATGTGAGTAGATTCTGTAGGTCACGTGACATCTGCCAAAGGACAATACCTAGAGAGATGTCTCTCATAGAAGTCCTGTTCAGCATAGTTGTGGACTTTATCAGGCCACTAGTGCCTATGTCTGACAAGGGAAAAGGGTATGTGTTAACAGTAGTTGATGAAGCGACACATTATCCAGAAGCAATAGCACTAGTGAAGATAAAGACAGAGAGAGTAGCAGAAGCCCTCCTGGAGATATTTTGCAAAGTAGGCTTTCCGAGAAAAATCCTCAGTGACAGAGGGACCCAGTTTACTTCAGAACTGATGTAGGAAGTGTGCTGACTCATCAGCGCTTGGCAACTCTTTACCACCCCGTACAATCCTAAATGTAATGTACTTTGTGAGAAAGTCAATGGAGTTTTAAAGAGAATGCTAAGGAAGATGTGCCAAGAGAGACCACATGACTGGGACAGGTACTTGCAGGCAGTGTCATTCGCTTATTGAGAAGTCCCACAAGCAAGTATAGAATTTTCACCCTTCGAGTTACCGTATGGATGAAGGACAAGGATCCACATTTCAAGGTTGGATAAAAGGTCTTAGTTCAGGTGTTCAGACTACAACAAACTCATCCTGCAATGGAAAGAAGTTTTTGAAGTACTCAATAGAATAAATGAACTATAAGGTGAATGTAAAGACCAAGGATGCAGCATGAAATCTTCAATTAAAATGTTATCACCGTTAAATGGTTTTATTCCTTTTTATATTTGTAATTTGTTTTACTGTCCACTTAAATTGGACAGGGTATCTCTGAATTTTCTTCATTTCTTTCCATTATTTAGTTTGCTTTAATGTATTTCCAAACTACTTTTTTCATATTACAGGGTTTAAGTAATCCTTTGTTTAAGGATATTTTAATGTATTTTATGTTATTAAAAGTTATTTTGGAGTGTTGTAATGTGTAATTAAGTATTGTGATGTTATTTCTTAATGCATGAAAAGTTTCTTGATTTATGACTATTTTTGCTTGAACGTTTTAAACTAAAATTTGTTTTTCTTTTAATATATGATTTCATACTTTATTTCACTTTAAATAAATGTAATTAAAAGATCATGTTTCAGTTTTGCTGTTGAATGATTGTGTAGTTCATGGATAGAGTTGTCATCCTGCGATTTTAGAAACGAAGGAAAATTAATGTGATCCTTGGCCATGCTACAAGTTTAAATTTTATTGATTTTAAAGTCATTTTAATTGTTGGCTGGATGTCAAGCCTGAAATAAAGAAAGGAGGAACATACATTTTGTTCAAGAGGATGTTCCAGTACCATTATAAATACATGTTGAAAGTGTCACCAATTGTAATATTTTTTGTTGAAAAAGAGCTCCTCATACCAGGAATAACAGCACAGAGCAAAAGTCTGTACAGATCTTCAGGAGTCTGTTGGCATGCGAGTGTATGTATATATATGCTGTCATGCCTGGTATGAGAAGCTCTTTCTCAACAATAGATATATATATATATATATATATATATATACACACTCTACAATGTGCATCCAATTAATGTGGAATGTAAAATAATGAATTGGTGCAACTTTAGGATACAGGATATTATAAACTTTAATTTCCCATAATTAACCTCAATTCAATATTTTAACATTCACACTACTCTATGGAATGTGAATATGATCTACTTCACAGATCCACATTAATTAAACTACAAAATATTTGATTAAAAACACTACAATATAATTGTGTCATTCTCATAGGAATGTTTATGATGGTACAAAAGGCAACTTGTATAAAAACTTGATTTAAGTGTGCTACTGAAATTCTGTAATGTATTTACATTTCAAACACATTAGTAATAGTCTGGATAAAACATTTTAATTTACTTCAAAAACTCCTGGAGTAGAAATGTGGACTCATTAATGTACAGAAATGGTAACTCAGACTCTAGTGATAGATAGTGAAGACTTGGAGTTGAGTTTAGTGAACCTACTTCTTGATATTTTTGAACTTTGGTTCTACTCGTATTAAAACCACTGGCCAGTCTAAACTATAAGTCACAGTTCAGGACAATAGAGATATTAATGAAATATTTTAGCTGTGATTGAGATGATTCATCATAGCAGCTAGAATTTAATTTGTGCTGATTATTGATATACATATATTATTGCTCATCCTATGCTAGGAGAAGTTGAAAGCAAGGTCAGTCCCTCTATATGGATTTTACAAGTTGTTCATTTATTCATACTGTATAATGTGATAGTATTAGTTTAATGATGTATACAGGCTCACAGCTGCATGTTCAGTTACTAATATGAAAGTAAACAGACATAAAGTGGTACACTATATTGAACAAACTCGTATGTCATTTTTAGCAGAGAAGTAAAGCAATGAGATAACTACAACAGATTTTAATAGTCTTTGTATAAATATTTGAACTTCTTTCTAAGTGTTGTAGTATGTACACAACTTCTGCATCCAGACATACACAGTAGCATACAAATTCATTA